CCATGCCATGTAGGGCTTTAAAGGTGATAACCAACACCTTGAATTGGACCCGGAAGCAAACCAGTACCCAATGCAGCTCGCGGAGCAATGGTGTTATGTGGGTATATACCTACAAAGAGACATTGCCACAGATTTTCAGTGGATGTATAGTTCTGAGTTACAATGGAAGTTCAAATTGAATCCCTCAAGTTTGATTTTACATATGATTACTCCAAAAAAGTAAAAAAAAAATAATTTGCTTCTATAACTGATGATACATACCTCCTGGTTCTGCTTGTATTACTCCCTTGATATAATTGGCAGAAAATACTGGCTGTTCAATGGAGCATCCCTTCACCAAGTGGAATGGCATCATGAAGGACATCATTGGGTCTTTGTTTTTTGACACAAAAATAACCTGCAAAACAAATTTATGTCTTCACATTTTTTTTAAGAAAAGCACAGGAAAGCTAACACAGAAATGAAAATATTTGCAATCTACATCCATATCAAATCATCAGCTTAAGATTTACATTTGGAATCATAATATTTTTTACTCCAAAGCTAACACATCCTAAAAGCCTCTTCCTAAATGAGTAAAATAACCAATCAAGATAGGTATCTTTTAGAAGGCTGTTCAGCATGGTCTAGCTATACTTCTTATAACTTTTGTTTCTTGCTTGAGCAGGTCTTCAGTGAAGATCTCAATAACCATGCACAGACCAACTAAAAGAAAATCGTATGCCAGATCCTGAGATAATATACAAAAGATTTAAAACTCAACTCACAATCCTTTTAATTCACACACAAAAGCAAACATTTTAAAACAGTTTCAAAACAGTGATGAAGTGTGTCTATTTTTCTTTTTGAGCTGGAGACAGTTCCAGAAACAGAAGGATTCTATGCTATATAGGACTCATCTCTAGTGTCTGTCAACCTGATGGATCCTGACAGCAGGCCTGCAAGCAAAACACCATAGGCTACTCTTAAAGTCCACACAAGATGAGTGCAGTCAATCCTTTGAATAGTCTACTCTCAAGTATTTAAAACATTAAACTCTGTCTGAAACTGAATTGTTGATGCAGTTGGTACTATACCAGTGTTACCAGTTCCAAAAGCCAGACCACTACAACTATTCCAGTGGCTTCAACTGAAAGGTAATTTTAAAGACTTCCACATGGAAGGCATTAAGCAGTTCAGTCAGAGCGTGTAAATGATTAAAGCATGACTTGTTTTAGATAGGATCCTAGATGTGAAACACTTAAATTGGGGGGGGAAAAAACACTCCTAACCACTAACTTCACTTATGATACTACAGGTAACTTTGAGTCAAGTAAAAGCACCAAACCGAGGAGGAGTTTTGCAGAAAACCCGTACTACTTTGAGTATTCCTAAAAATGTGTTTTCAGAAACTGAAAATATTGTTTTGGAAGCTTAACTGGGGAAATTTCCCCCCTTGTTTTTTCACTTAGGAAGGTTGGATTTCACTCAGGACTTACCCGAAATGGAGTGAGAAAAACCATTCCTTTCTTGGTGCCTTTGAAAATCTCTGGATTGCCAGTTACCTCAGAGAAAGTCAGCTCCACATCTTTACAGTGCTTGAGAATACTTCAAGGAAGGAGATATGATACAGATACATTAGTATATAACTAGGTTTATTAATACAGATGAAGAATCAACTTGCAAAACTTATTAAAGGGTGTTTACTAAACTCAGTCCAGAAAACGTGGCTCAGGAGATCATCTTTGTTTAAATTGCAGTACAAGTTTCCCAGTCAAACACTAGTTAGCAACGTTAGTGACTATACTATCCCCAGCCTAGCAATATCTATTATTATTGTTATTTGCTCTTACTGTTAAGTCCTTAAGATCTGCCTCTTTTGTGTTCTTTATTTATACCTATATGTATAAAACTGAAATCTGCATAAAAGCATTCCAGATCACTCAACAGCACTGCTTGGAAAATAGCTTTTGTCACAAATCACCTCTATTGGAAGTGAACTAAACAACTTGATAGTTAAGTACAGAGCCAAACAATTTTGATTGTGACAAGGGGGAGATCTCCTTCCCTGCATATAAAATGCTTACTTCTATGATGACTGGATCTGCCCACCAAAGTATGCCAAAATTTGGAACAAATTCAGCCAACTGTGACTTATTCATTAAGCTATTTTTCAACAAGCCCTGGATTAGTTTGAAAATTTATGGCTGTAACATTGTGCACTTATTTCAGAGCAAGGTTTGTTATACACCAAGCAGACTTGCATAAAATCAGATTATAATGAAACACAACTATCTATTCTTATTTCAATAACTAATATGGAAGATATCTATACTCTCCCAGCACCCCACCAAATGTATCAAATACTCATGCAGGATGATTATGCAAATAGTTTTTCTTTCTTTTTTATTCTCCAAAAACAAACTAGTTATTTAGAACTACAGCAGTTCATCATGAATTATTTGATATGAGTGCCCACAAGCAGCTCTGTCAGCCAAACCAGGGGACTCATTGGTTTACTGAGGACCTCCAGATAAAAGCATCAGAAATGATGCCTGTAGCACCACTGGAGGAAGATGAACAGTGAATCTGATGGAAAATAGGTAAGGACCCTTGTTCAGGCCTACTCCATGACAATTAGCGTGGCATAGTATCAGAACTTCTTTGCCCTTATTGTTGACAAATTATAGCCCAGTAGCATTGATTAGATGGGCTACTTTGTGTTGAACAGAGATGGGCAGGAAGACTTGCCATCAGGCCACTGTGACCTTTCTGCACAACATTTTGCCAATAAAGCCATTCACAGTCATGTAACCTTTGATTCTTCATAGGTAGGGTCTAAAGTGGAAATTGGGTCAGTGTCTTTTAATATTATTTGGGACTTCTTTCAGTGTCTGGACTCTAAGTTGAAACGGTGTTCTCTGGCACCTCTGGCTTAAATCCATGTTCCTTCTGGTTTCTTTGGATGGCTGGGGCAGATAGCTGAGTCCAGATGGCAGTCAGTGCCTCCTTTGTGGAATGGGTGATGCTCCCTCCTCAGGAGGCCTTCCCTGGCCCCAGCCATATTGAATAACTATTGCTGTCTCCAGATCCCCTTCTTGATCAAGTTTTTGGGGAAGAAAGTGGGTGTCAGTTGCAGAGCACCTAGCCAAAATGGATTATCTGGCCCCTTTCAGTCAGAAATCTAGAAGAAACAAAAGATGGAAACACTTTTCATCTCTCTGGTGGATGTCCTATGACTGGGACCTGGTTGGAGAGAATGGATCCCTCCTGGACTGCTCAGCAGCATTCATTACAATTAATCATGATATTCTTCTGCCAGGTTTAGGAGGTGGGGGCACTGTTTTACAGTGGTTCTGCTCCTTCAGGAGTAGGTAATTCCAGCTGGTGGTGATGGGTCAAGTTGGCCCAGTGTGTGCTCCCTTGTGGGATGTCTTCTCTCCCTTACATAAAGGAGTCATCAATCTGTTCAGGGACAGGTATCATCAATACACTGGTGATACCTAGTTACATATTTCCATGTTGGGCAGGGCCAAGCTGAAGTTCCTGACTCTATCTGAGGCTGTTAGGTCTAGATGACACAGAGCAGACTGAATTTGAATCCCGGTAGGAAAGAGGTACTATTCAGCTCTGGTTTTACTCTAGACAAGATAGTGTTCCTCTGAAACAGCAGTTCTACAACTTGAAGTTCTTCCTGGTTTCATGCTACTGCTGGAGAGACAAGTGGAGGCCATGGCCAGAGGAGCCTTTACCTTTGGGTGGTGTGCCAACTCAGCCCTACTTGGAGTTGGAGGCCCTAGTGATAGTAACTCATGCACTTCTGTCCACTAGACTACTGCAATGTGCTGTCCATAAAACTGCCTTTGAAAATCCTCAGAAATTGAAGTAAATAAAACTAATGGGGAAAAAATTGCACAAAATTCTGAATATTTTCATCAAAAAGCAATCATTTGTTGTTCAGGATTTCTTTTTTTAAAAAATGGTGACCTGTTACTGCTGAAGAATGCTGAGAACAAGGTTAAGCTTTTTAATTTAGCACTCCACTGATCATGTAGAAATCATGTGATTCTGATTTAACTCTTGTTGTTTTTACTTCCAGGCCTATGTCAGTATCACAGCTCTGCTGTACCATTTTTTTGTTTGTTTTTGTATAATTCTGTAATTGTCTTTTTGTTTCAAGGAAAACAAAAGCGAAAAATGATGAGTTGAAAATATTTACCCTCATTTGTTTAATCAAGTTATTATGACATAGTCACTCATATTTCAGTACTGAAATGTACAATCCCACATCCAAGAGACAGAGACAATGCAACATAAGGAATTACTATCAAATGGTGATAACGTAAATTCCAGTACCAATGAAAATAGCAATAGCAGGGTTATTTATATTTAACAAACATGCGTAAAATGATGCTGAAACCACTTGGAAAATTACAATTGTGTTAACTCATCCAAAGTGTACTTTTACCATATGCTCCATTTGTGTAGGAAAAAAAATTAGTGTGGCCTTTATATGACAAACTGTTCCTTGGTCCCAAACACTTGATACCCTTTGAAGAGCAAAACTGGAATACCATATCCACAACTCATCTGTTTTAATGTATTAGTAGAGTACTACTATCTTAACGTAAGGAAACTACTTTCCAATGTTTTCCTAGGAAGCCAGTTACTTCAACATATTTCCTCTTAGGCGATGAGCCTGCCAGAAAAATCATACAGAAATGTATTTCGGGCCCAGGCTTTATTTCCTTCCCCCTATCAAATTGTACTTATCTATGGTATGATGGAAAGAGAACATGTATTCGATAATGCAGTCTCCTTAACTCTCTGCCCTCCACATAAGTTGCCCTCTAGATACACCCATTATTCCCAACCAGCCTAGACTGGGGAAGACTGAATTAAATTCGTACCTACTAAAGCTTAACAAGGGGAGGAAAAAGTATGTGTGTCACAATTACGGCCCACGTCATAAAACAACAACAGCACTACTGAACGCAGATTTCTGCACGGAAGGGAAGTGGAACTAAAGGCCGCGCAGCCTGTTTGGGGTTACAGTGAGACAGAACAGAACAAAACTAGCCGTGAAGGTTTGCTTTGCTACCACCGCGCTTCCCGGCCAGGAGTCAGAATCCCGGGGAGAGCAAGACCGGAGCGGGAGGGGCCTAACCCCCCTACAGTCTCTCGACAATCGGGCACACGTCACAATCCCGCTCCGGGTGCTGGAAAGATGCGAGCTGCTCTCGAGCTCCGGCGCGGCGCTTGAGGCCGAGGAAACCGGACGGCTTCCCAGGGAAGGGTCGCTCTGCAGCGCATTACAGGCGCCCATCCTGCTGCTCAGGTATAAGCGCCCCACACGTATCTCGTGGTCCTCGAGGATACACAACCCCCCGATTCTTGCCGCCGCCCCTTACTCGCCAAGTCCAGCCTCGCCTCCGGTTACCTTTCCCCGTGGGGCGGGATAACCCCGCCGCCGAGCGAGTGGTTCCTGTTCACCGCCATGTTCCCGGCCAATGGCACCGACCGAGGCGGTCCTTCTCTTTCGTCCCTCGCCAAATACGGCAGAGCCGCCCCGTAGAGGCCGTGACCTCGTGGCACGCAGGCCCGCCCCCCCCCCGCCGGGGGGGGGGTGCGCGGGCCCTGCAGGGGGGGGGCTCGCGCGGGGGGGCGCCGGGGGGGGGGGGGGGGC